CCCCAAAACCCCAAAACCCCAAAACCCCAAAACCCCAAAACCCCAAAACCCCTTGTTTAGATGCCTTTTGTCTTAAAGAATAGATAATAGTTATAATGAAATTAGCTTCATGGAAGATAAATATACTTGCTTCTATCATTTTCATCCCTCTTAAGATATTCTCTTTCAATAAGAGACTCGATTCTTTGCTTAATCATTTGAGGTTGAGGCATAAAGTTGCTAATCTATCTTATTACATCCTCGAGGAGTTGATTATGCTTCTCAGTTTTTCTAGCTTTCATAATTCTCACAACCACAGCATCAATAATGTTTCTTCTCTCATTTTCGATATCAGTGTCTACAGTTGGCTTGATCTCAGCAGCGTCTTTCTTCTTATGAGTCACAGTTGGGATAAAGTTGACTTTTAGATTTTGGTTTTAGAAACCAAGGAATACTGAGAGCTTCTCGTTAGGCTAGAACTTTGGCTCTTTCTTGTTTTCTTTGTCTAAGACTTTATTTTTTGGGTTACATAAGAAGATAAGAGCTGGGTTAAGTTCACCTTCTGGAATCTAAGTCATTTCTTTGATTTAGCTATATGATAATGTCTGATGCTTATTGAATAAGAAAAGGATAACAGACTGATAGCAACTAACAACAAGGGTATAGTTCTTGCCCTAAACAAAAACTGGTTTTAATTCAAGAGAACCGTGTTGATATAGCCAGGTCAAATGTCTGTTTTGATGCTTATGTTTATAGAATGATTCAAATCTTCCACTGACATCTTTCATTTCAGGTGGAAGAGTGCAAGCAGCAGGTGGCTATTCGGGCCAATGACCGTTGGTCAAGACTTCGGCTATAAAATCAACACCTTGATCAGCAATTTATTTAGCTCCTGCTGATTATTTAAATTCAAGCATTAGATCCTTTGATAAGTTCATATCTGTAAACATTTGAGAAATTCTATTAACTGTATTATGGCCACATTCGACTTTTAGTTTTCCAAGCATTGAAGTCTCAGCATCTAATGATAGATAACTCTTATTCAATAATCTAGCTGATAAATGCTTGGTGTAAGCCTTAATGAAAACATCTCTTCCATGAAGACAACAGAACAACTTTATAATAGCATCTAATCTTTCATTAATTTGATGTTCACTAATACCCTTAAATCCTTTCTTGAATTCAGTATCACAGTAAGCAGCAATATATTGAGGGGTAAATTGGCATTTATTCATAAAATTTTGGAAGGAAACATCTCTATTCTTTTAGAATCTAATATCATTTAAAAAGCTTCTTTCCACCATCTCGTCCATTTCTCTTTTAAGGTCTAGCAGTTTAGTGGTGAACTCATTAGGGTCCTTCAAAAGAGCTTCATCAGTTACAATCTTTTCTCCTCTACCCTCAATATATGGAGCCATTTTCTAAATGATAAATTTAAGAGTGCTCTCAACTCTCTTGAATAATCTGAACATTAGCGCTAGCTCTTCCAATTTTTTGTGCTAGAACATTGAATCACATCCTGTATCCTTATCAACCAAGTTTTGAGCCTATTTCTCTATGATTTCATGCTGGATCACTGATAAGAGCTTTGGCTTAGTCTCTTGTTGTAAGAAATAGTTTGCTCTTTCTTCTTCCTTCTTAAGGTTGTCTTCAGCTGCCTTGAGGTATTCTGGGCAGTTTAAGTTACATAACCAGCCTTGACTCTTCTAACTGTATTCTTCTTTAGCCTAAGAGAAAAAAGTTATATGAACTTCTTAAAATACCTTTGTAATAAGCTATTCTTCGAAACTTTTTTCATAAATTGTAAGATTTCTTTCTCCTTTCCAAACGTAATCTCCATCGAGTCCAATAATGTCTGCAGTAATGAAACCCATTTGGACAAAGGCAGTAATGCAGTTCTTCAACAAATCCCAATCAACTACTTCGCTATTACGATCTTTGGTGATCTGGTTGAGAAGAGCTTATCTGAGCATCTGCTATATATTATTGAAGCAGGTCTCCTTAAAGAATACTAGAGCACTAGTTGCTAATGATTACATACTGGAATTCTTCAAGAAATAGCGATCCTATATTGATTGATTAAAATTCGAAATAAAGATATGCGAATTCAAGCTTACAAGATAATTGAACATTTTTCTCATATAATGAACTAGAATGGTATAGTCTTTCCATTCTTTCACGAAGGCTTGCAATAAGACCTCCTCCTTTTTAGATTTAAGTTCTGGTACGACATGCTTCTCAATATGATCGCATAAAGTCTGCTTAAAGTATTGATTCAACTCCTTAGCTTTGTCTAACTCATCACACAATCTTAGAACCATTCTATCCAACAAATATTAAGCTAAATGTAAATGCATACGTGTAACACTAGATATAGCTCTTGTGACTCTTATCAAGTGTTCTTGTCTTCAGGTATCTTCTGATTCCCTAGATATATTGCTCATCCACTAGTTTTATACCAGCCTCATAGGTTAATGGACCTTCAAGTACTTCTGACATTTATTTCTAAGCTTTTCGATTTAAAGATTTTAATATTTATTAGCTCTTTAATATTTATACTTTCCAACCATAGTGAATTCTGACAAGAGGGGTTTTGGGGTTTTGGGGTTTTGGGG